TTAATTAGTTATTTATCAATATTTATTTTCCAAAGGGTTAATGAAATTATTTAAACTTTTTTTTATCAATATATTATTTGTGTTTATTTTTACTTTCAGTTTGGTATAAATATTGCAATATATCTTATTATTGCTATTTATTGAAACAATGCAATAATTAGATAATAATTACTCAAATAACACATGAAAAACACATGAATTATTAGAACTGAGCTGGTTTTTCCTTACAAGTTAAAAATAAAATTGCAATTTTACGGGATTTGAAGTATTCTAGTAAAATGTTAATTACTTTTAAATGAATGTTTTTGTATTCGCTAAATTATCGTATGATCAAATAGAATTTCGAATTGAATATGATTTCATTATTCAGGTAGAAAAACAAAGATGAATAAGTCGAACATAAATAAATAAAATAATTATAAACTATTTTGTAATATTTTGTGTATTAATATGTAATTTGCTGATTATTAGAAACAAATATTGTTATTGTTATTTGTTAATAGAATTTCTTCTTTTTTGAATCGGAATTTCGAGGGAACTGAAAAATTTTAATGTTCATTTTTTGTTATTATAAATGATATTTCAAATAAGTTTAGCATCAAAAGAATGATTAGATAAATCAACGCGTAGTTTTGTTACAACTGTGCCAGAAATTGAAAAAAACACATTTTGATTTAGTCAATCTTATTTTTATAGTCAACAACGATTTGTAGATACGTTTCAGAGTAGGTGTCTTCATTCCTGTGGTTTAATATAATTTCAGCTTCATTTGAATTGATAATATTTTGTCGGGTTTTATTTCTTCCATAGAATTATGGTATGCAATTATTACATTTGCTTAAGAGAGCCTTAATTCATTGAGCCTTAAATCATTTGATTTCTATTCCAATTCTGTATTTTTTTTGCATATTTAGTCATGAAACAGTTAATTTTGAAATATGATATTTATAAGATTTGGTCATCTGATTGAAGATTGCATTCCTAATAATCCCGGGATTAAAAACATGAATCCCTGGGATTTATAAATAAAAGCCAATTTCCTGGTATTTTGTTATCTGGATGGATCCAATAGTATCCAGACATGTTCAGTTAATAATATATGTCTATCAAACCATATTGTTAGAATATGTAAAAGACAGATTTACATATTTCCATCTTTTGTGTTTGTATAACATTTATTTTATTTACATTCTGTAATAAATAGAGGACATTAAGTAAATCACTAAAATAACAATTATTTATTTCTCGTTTCCCGGCAACAAAAAAAAATACTTAAAATATATCAAGAGAAATACACATTATTCTAATCTTATTGTCTATAATGTCTAATTTAATTGTTTCAATCTTATTCAATTTCTTAATTACTAGTGCATTTATGTAGAAATAAAACCAAATTTCTAATAGTCTCATCAACGATCTCAATTCAAAAATTGGTTTTACATTTGAATATTTACGTTTCTCTTTAGTTATAATTACTTATTTGAGAGCAATAAGACATTTTTTTACTTTGATTCTTTTATATCACTAAATTGATATCTCGTCATTTGCAGCATTTTCTTTCTCGTTGTTCACATTAGTAATGAATAATTGTAATAATTATATTTTATTTAATATTTCATTTTACATTGCAAACCAAAATATGTTATTTTAATGGTTTTTTGATAATATTCAACGAATTTTTATATAGTAGATTTTTTTTGCAAATTCTAAATAATTTACTTTGGTCAACCTAATAACAGGAATTTATGAGCTTTCATTTTTCATTATTTTTTAATGTTAATAATGTAGTTATTATTCTCTTTTTGCAAAGTGCATATAATCTTGATATAAAGGTAGAAAAAGAAAGATATAATAGGTCTATTACATAAAATCAATTCACGTTTTTTTTTATAACAAAACGTATAATCATTTTTTTCCTTACTTATAATTCCGTTTAAACATTTTAAAATGAAACTCAACAAAGAAACTGTCATGTTTTCATGATGTAAAGATTTCCATAACGTGCAAAAACGGGAAATTGGACTACAACTATTATTGACGATTCTGAAACTTGGTTTTATTTGGAATCAATATTAATTACAATTGCACGGATGTGTAGCAGTGGGTACTATTAAATATTACAAACAAAAATCACTGCGGTTCTATAAAAGCATATGTCGGTGTATAAAGTGACTCGATAAATAATTTAATATCATAACCCATCACGCCACTTTTACTGGCCAACGAATGTCACAAATCACATGCATTCTCCACTTCCTCTACATATTCTGCCATATAATTATTCACTCAGCTAGACAGCCGTGCTAGAAAACTGCTCTCCGAAAAATTTAAAGCTCTTACGTAATACCTATATGTATGTATTGTATTTAACAGTATGCATTTGAAAATTTCAAATAAATCTCTGCAAATATTCCATTGACATTAAAAATAATTAATTGGCAATGAATGGAAATAAAAAAATAAACAACATGTATCCATTACATCTGCATGAAAATCAAACAGTTTTATTTTATATAAATACGTTGTGACCGTTTCAAATCTAATGCTGCCTCCATATATGTGCAAATAAATAATGAATAAAATATATACACATACACATATATACGATCTGAACGTTGGATTACAATAATCGATAGAGCTTTATAATTAATTGCGGCTATCGACTGTTGTTCACGGTATAATTAAAATAATTAAATATCGTACACGGCTCCACCGGGGTCACGTAGCATTTGCATCATTTCACTAATTGAATGTGTGTCTGATTGAAAACGAATTGTTGGTGATTAAGCGAATACGTAATCACCAATTTTCGATATTCCGTTGGAAAAAAAATTATACACACACACACATACATCAAATGTATGGAATCAATACTGCGCTGTTTTCAATACATATTTTTAGAAATATTACACAACTCAATCATTTTTTTTTGTTGTAATGAAAAGGTTTATTGATAAATTTTAATCAATTGTTATGATTTTACTATTTTTTTTAGGGTAGGATTAATTTACTTGTAAGGGTTGCCTAATTTGGAACATCCGTTGAAATTATACTAAAGAAAATTGAAGTTAAAGTAGTGGTCCATCTTGGGAAACTAATTGCTTTGATTGGACCGTTGATTAAGCGAATACGTAATCACCAATTTTCGATATTTCAATCATAATTCATAATTATTTTTTTAATATTCTATTTCATTTTGAAGGTGTAATTGGTAATTTTTACTTATTCTTTATGAAATAGTTTAAGGTGCATAGTTTCGACTTCTAGGTTAAATTATACTATAGAAAATTGAATTGAAACTAGTTGTATTGCGATGACGCAAATTTTATTTCTGTATTTTTAATTATAATAGTGTTTGATAAATCATTTTGAAGGATAAAACTTTCTTACTTTCTTATATATAAAGTTTAATAACTTGTAAAAGTTGTCTAATTTCAACCAATTTATTTAATTTATAATTGAATTTTCTAAAAAAACATTCATTTTGAGGCTGTAGTTTTTTTTAATATATTTGTTATGATTTCATCAATAATAGTGTTGTGTAACATTGTTCAATTTACTTGTAAAAGATACCTAGTTACGACCTCTAGCTCAAAAATATATTTAAGACAATGGTCCATTCTGGGAAACTAGTTGTCATGATTTAATTACATGGTGCGGCAGAAATAACTCCCACATTTGAAAGGGAGATTGAAAAAAAAGGGTCGAAGTATCACCAATTTTTTTTAATTTCCCAAATATCCATCCTGTTAGAATCACCCATACTCACCCATAGTGATTTTTCGTATTGTGGGCTATCTCTGTCGCAGCCTGTAGTTAATGAAAATAAAAGTTTGAATGACTTAAGACGTTGTCTAGTTTGGACCATTAGCTTAAATATTAATACTTTTTCCATTTTATTTGCAGGCCATCATGGGAAACTCATTTTACAATTCTTATTGTATGTTGCAAAAAAAAATTACATCATTTTATAATGATGTAAATATGTAAATGTTGTTTTTTAAATATTTCATATTTAAATTTTAATTAAATATATTTAAATTTTCTTTAAAAAAAAATATGTGATCCAAAATTGCAAGCTTCTGTTATGTTTCATTCGGAATATTATAATGTGTACGACTTTTGATATATTTTTTGTAATCGAAAAGTTTTGATTGTTTGCGGTGCCAATTAAAAGGTTTACTCACCTTGGGAATTCCTTGGTTTTTCTATCTCATAACGAGAAATGGAGGTTGTCAATAATAATAAAGAGTAACTGAATACGTTCGGCATGGCGCATTCGTCTTTTAGTCTCTCTTGTTTATTCGGAGCAGAAAAGTACATCGGTAAAAAGCTTCCATTAAGAATGGGGAGTAAGCTAAGAAATTACTTTCAAGGCCAAAACCTCCCAACAAAACGATTATGGTTACGACCGACCGGTAATTTACACAACTTTGCTGAAGATCATTTGCGGAATGATACAATCGATATGCGGTATAAACATATACAAGAATAAGAAAAAAAAAACACTGAAATGTATTTTGCAAGTTCAAATGAACGTTGTATAAATGTATTCAGTTAATAAGAAGAGTCTATATAAAATATTATAAAATTAGACATGATTTTGTAAATTGATTACATAATGTGTCAAAATAAATATTAGTGTTTTTCTAAATAACATAATATTATTTCCAATTTACTAAACATGACGTCAATGTTAAAAAAACAATGAAATTCCTAATTACTTGATGTTATATTTTTTCGAAATCTATGTTGGTCCATAACAAGTTATACATTGTAGTAGATGAATGTCTGAACAGGTATGGCTCTGAGTCCAAAAATCTGCAATAAAAAGAATATTTTTATGTTTTTGGAATACTAAGTTTTAGTAATTTACTTGGATATTTCTTTTCGCACGTCGTGTGAAACTATGCATGAGATTTCGAAAAGCCAATACTTCAATTTCACATTAGTCAAATGCTTGTAAATTTGAAGCAAACGAAAGAATTCCAAAAATATTTTCAACTGAAAATCTTCTCCTGAAAATCCATTTGTAACTTCTTGTAAGTGAAAGTTAAGTTCTATTATATTACCATAATTATTCTGTACATTTAACGATAATCCACCCATAAGTAGATCAGTCGGTCCTAATTCGTTGATTTTATCCATATCAACATTGCAGTAATCGTTCAACGTGAAATCATCTTTTTCTTGAAACGTATCCCAAAATATTCTGTAATCTGGGAAACTCGAGTTTTCCTTGCAGCTGTATAAACCAAATATTCCTTTCTCGATGCTTTTGAATGGTATTTTGTGGTAATGTGGAAATATTTTTTCGAATCCTAATAAGTTGAGCTTTGTTATGTATTGAATATTAAGTTTAGTATCAAAATTCGTTACCATGGAGATTGTCGCAAACTATGAACATTACTCGTTTCACATCGTACATAGTCCTCAAATGAACGGTTTTAATCGTTGGGTGAAAGAATACCTGCATCTAAATGGATATTTAACACTTAGGGCTCATTTAACGTACTTGTTCGATAATACGTACACATTCATTTATTGTGCTCTGATCGTGTTAATGTACATATATTATGTATTTGATTTTGGTGGCAATCGCAAGCCCGACAACCGAAATCCCGTCTAACGAAATCCCGAGTGTATCGAAATCCCGACGTTCGAAATCCCGACTATATCGAAATCCCGAATATATCGAAATCCCGACTACCATAAACCCGAAAATCAACATCCCGACTATATTGAAATCCCGACTATATCAAAATCCCGACAGTGCCTTTCAGTATTATAAATTTCTACAATAACATTTTTCTGGTAGTCGGGATTTCGATATAGTCGGGATTTCGATATATTCGTTATTTCGATATATTCGTTATTTCGATATATTCGTTATTTCGATATAGTCGGGATTATGGTAGTCGGAATTTTGACATAGTCGGGATTTTAATACAGACGGGATTTCGAACGTCGGGATTTCGATACACTCGGGATTTCGAACATCGGGATTTCAATAGACGGTCTTTCGGTTGTCGGGCTTGCGATATAGACCCATTTGATTTATGTATAAGTCGTTAATTGTTTTGGTAAAAGATAATGAATAACAACATTCTGATTGAAATAAAATTAAAAAAAAATACATATTATTAATTATTAGGGAAGACTGTACGTATATATGAAAGTAGAATATGTTAGTGCGAATAATTGTACTGTAATTTTGTACTGGAGCATATGTTATTTATTTTTAATCTAAAACTCGTTTTAGTAAAATAATGAAGATCTGTCGTTATTTCTTATGGTAAAGCGTACGTTTGTATGAAAATTGAGTGCGTTATTGCAACTAATTATATTAGAAGTAAATTCGTAATTTACGTACATACGTATTGTTTGAGTACGTTATGTGAGCTTTTTATACAGTAAAAACAAATTTGTTATAGCAAAAAAGAAAAACTAATACCTGGTAAAGCCAATCACTTTTACGAATTATAGTATTCTCATTGGAAGGTGTACATAAGTTGCATTCCAAATATTTTCCAATTTTCTTCTTCTTCATTAAATTTTGAATGCATGGGGTACAGTATATTCTTAAAAGATACATTTAATTTTCGGATATTCAACTGTTGGAAAATTACCTTTGGCAATTCTGTTGTATGCAGCTGTGAACTTTGGACGAATTTCCACATATGAAGCAAAATATCTATAAAATCAAATAAAACATCAAATAAATCAAATCTCGCATAGTCCGGATGTTGTTTGAAACCGGATTAATCGAGGAACTTAAAATCGCTTAAAAAAAATTGAGATTCAATTTTCAAAAATTTAATGTAAACTTTCTTTGTTTTGAAATTTATAAACCGTACTATAGTGAACAAGGAATCCGGACTATGCGAGGTATTATATTAAATTTTAAATAATAAAATAAAGAATACATACATAAAGTCCTTCGTCGTCCAGAACATTAATAGTGTTTTTTAATTTATCCTGAAAATTGGTGATAAAAATGAAAAAAAAGATATTTTTTTTTAATATTAAATTATAATTACATAACAGTCATAGCAGACTTTCCCCTCGTAGAGTGGATGGTCGTACTGCGGCTTGTAACAGTAACAAGCAATGCAAAGCGAGTTGATCATTTCCTTGAAACTAGAAAACGTCTTTAAATTCCCTAAAGTAAAAGGTTAAGAAGAGTTAACAATTAAATTACATGTAACATGAGTGTCTCCTTACCAACATTCTTCGGTCTATCGATTCTCTTCCATTCAACGTACTTTCGTGAAATTAAAACCAATTTTACAAACGGCGGAAGTTCTGAAATGTATATTTTACGTGCATGTAAAATAAAAATAAAAGAAATAAATAAATAAACAACGAGACTGAAATGAACTTACTCCTGCACAAGGCTTCGACGTCGTTTTCGTCTTGCGTTAGTCCTTGAAACCCATCTATGGCGAACTGTATGAGTTCATCGTCAGCCATCTCGGAGGTCAAAGGTTTACCATATTCCTGCAAATCGAAAATACGTATAATATATACATTTACAGATACATAAACATATAAATTGTATTTACTTTTATTGCTGCACATACTCCTTCCTTCCATTTCGCACCCATTATGTTCTTTTGCGACTTGTAAACTTCATTAAAATTAAACTGAAAGTGCTGAAGCGCCGATTTTTGTACCTACAATTTTATTTAAAAACTTTTAATCACCTCATATTATTTAATATGCAAATTATTACTAATAGTGGAAATTACAATATAAACCAATGAAAGCATCCTGTTGTAATCAGAAATGGGATCTTTTTCATTTCCAATTTTAGCAGCAAATGTTTATTTAAAAATAGTTTACCATTGATATCCTTTTATCACCAAACCAATATACGTATATTTGTCCTTGCCTCGGTTTTTGTATAATATAATCTGCGGTATCGAATGTAATGCCTACAATAAAAAAAATATATTAAAATAATACTCGCATAGTGCGGTTTGGATTAGTCCTGATTCACTATAGTGCGGATTGAAAATTTTAAAACAAACTATGTTTTAATTGTGATAAATAAAAAAATAATCATGCGTGCAGAAAGTAATCTAAATATTGTTTAAAAAAATAACTGTATCTGGTTAATAAGTAAGTAAAATGTTATTAAAATGATAATATGGCAATTATTCACATAGTACGGCTTCGATCAGTGCGGATTAATAAAAATAATTCTAAAAAAAAATAGTACACAAAATTATTATTTTTATACATAAATAATATTTTTCTTTTTTCTGTAAAGTAGATATACGTATTGTTGATTATTATGCGGTTTTAAAGTCCTCGGTTAGTCCGGATTCAAACAATGCGGGTTAATGCCGGAAATATGAGAGATTTTCCTCTAATTAGAATTACTTTAAAACTATCACTAAAAATATTTTTGGTTTTTACTTAATATACGATTTAAGGCGGAAAACCTAGGTTATTTATTTTTTTTAACGATTTGTGTATGAGTTTTGCAATAAATTTCATTATTATTATAAAATTATTCAATACTTTTAATTAATTTTTTGATTATTTTTTTATTATGTAATTTTCAGACTACAAATTTCATTTTAATATATAAAACTACGTACTTGGCCAATAAATGTTGTCTGTTTTCGCCCAGACGTACATCCCTTCGATCCACTTATAAAACATGTTGCTAACACTTTTCAATTAACAAGTTGTTTGCACTATCCAATTAACAAGTATTACATCCAACGTTTTCACGACGCAATCACTTGGGGATCTCAGTTCCAAATGAGAAAAAAAAAACTATGAAAAGCAAAAATTCACCACGACACGTGTACAAATATTATATTACAATATTAACACAAATGTACCTATTATAATTCTTCTGCATTATGTAGAAACACTTCCATTTCAAAGCTGTTTATTTACAATGTGTAAAATATCAAGTGCAGTGTTTCTATTTATGTAAATCGTATTTATTCTTTTTTTAGTGATCTATCAACTCTATTCATCCAAATCAATAAATTGAAATTATAATACCTCACATTGTATCAATATCTCGGACTATTTGAAACCGGACTAATCAAGTTACCAAATACATAATAAACTGTACAAAAAGTGGAAAAACCTATGATTGATTTAAAATTGATTTTCTTTAGAAATTTACAAACCGGACTATAATGAATCCGGACTAATCGAAGCCGCACTATGAGAGGTATTGTTGTACTCCAAACAAAACTTTTTTTGTTTTTAATAATTTGAAATTATCAACATGTATTTATTTTATTTTGTACGTTTAAATTATTAATGTTTTTTAAACCACAGCTTTTTGTCCTAAATATTAATAATTCATATATAAATTTTACTATGTTATTAAATAATAGCAATTAATTATTAAATATAAATTTTGTGCTCGTACAAAATCGATAAATAAAACGTGCATATTTTACTTATAATATAGATCTCACGTAATGCGAATATTCCCTGAATATAACATAACCTCGGGCCTTTGATGGAGAATAAATCCGCTTATATGCTTAGATGAACAAATATAGAACTTTTTCATGAGCGGATTTATCTTATTTAAGTAATCAATATAAAATATTTTTGCTGTAAATCTAATATTATGATATAAATAAATAAACATATTATTTTCAGTATATTTATTAAAATAACATTTGAAATCAATATTTTCAATTATTTAATTTATCTCAGTTTCTTCTATATCAATTCTAAATCAAATCTAACTTGTGTTTTCGGTTAAGAAAATAACATTACAAAAAATCCCGACTATATGGAAATCCCGATTATATCCAAATCCCGACAGTGTCTTTTATTATTATAAATTTCTACAATAACATTTTTATGATAGTCGGGATTTCGATATAGTCGAGATTTTGAATGTCAAGATTATGGGCGTTGTTAGAAAATTCATTTCACTATTAAAAATAGCGGCTGTAATGCTATGTGCGGCTCTCTAGATCTTTTTTAATAGGCAAGAGGTTGCCGACTCGTGCGAATTATCATAACACATTAATCTTATCTTCTTAATTTTGTACGAAATACTTCAAATAAACATATACAACTTATTTATTGGGCGGCAAAGGCATAACACATTCTTAAGAAAAATATAAAAAATAACAAAACATCATATAATATAATAAAGATATATAGAATGAAAACAAACAAAACATGGAATGTAAAATGATTAAAAAAATATATATATGTAATATAATAACACGGGCGGTGGCAATCGCAAGCCCGACAACCGAAAGACCGTCTATTGAAATCCCGACGATTGAATTGCCGACTGTATCGAAATCCCGACGTTCGAAATCCCGACTGTATCGAAATCCCGACAACAAAATCCCGAGTATATTTAAATCCCGACAATCATAATCCCGACTATATCGAAAATGTCTACAATAAAATTTTTAAATTATTTCGGAGCGTAGTGACTTTTAAATTGTTATTAATAATAAATAATAACAATTAATAATCTAATTGTATTTGAGATTATTTCATAATGTTAAGGTTTATTATGAAAAATTCAACAAAATCAAGTAAATTAATAATAGTTTATTGTTATTAATAATAAAAGTGCAGCACAAGGTGACTACGCTCCGAAATAATTTAAAAATGTTATTGTAAAAATTTTCGATATAGTCGGGATTTTGATACAGTCGGGATTTCTAACGTCTTGATTTCAATAGACGGTCTTTGGGTTGTCGGGCTTGCGATATAGACCCTAACACAGAATATTACATACACAGAAATATCTCGCATAGTGCGGTTAATTGGTTGCGAAAATAACCCGGACTAATCGAGTAAACAAATACACAATACAAAAAAAATATTTTTTCATATACTAATTTAACACATAATTTTACTTAATAAAAAAATGGTTTATTTTGAAATTTTTAAAATGGACTGATCGAAGCTGACATTCAATACATATACATATTATAGATATTACAATGATTCATGCGGTTTTTCTTCCATACTTTTTTTTTGTTTGTTTGCAATTATTTATACAATTATATAATTCTTGCAAATTATTATTTAATTATAATGCATTGGTTAATGAAAACTTGAGTTTATTGCAACAATTAATAATTACGTAATAATTGTGATTATCGCACTAATTACAGAAATAATTACATACATACTTAATTATATTTCTATTAAATGTAGGTCTTTCAAAATACATTTTTTATTTAGATATTTTAAGAGATGAAAATTGTTTAAAAATATATTTTTGTTGCAAAATTATTGAATAAAGTAAAATAACTTATTTTGAAGTGTTTACATAATTTAGTTAATGATTGGGAAATGTAAAATATTTAGTAAGTATGTATATCGTGAATGGATAACACAATATTATTACATGATTAATCTATAATAACTGATTTGCAAGCATGTCGTTGTGCTGTTAAGTGGGTAATGCATCTCGTAGAACAATAGTCCCAAGGGGATGTTTTAACGTGACGTAATTAGGTAGATTGTTGGTACAGATAGGGAAACGTGCATGGATGATCATTGCCGGTATGAGCAAGGACCGAAGGCAAGCTTGTTGTATTCAACATTCAAATAAAAAAAATGATGCTATGATGTTAATATTTGTTCGTTAAATGAATTTGATCATTATCAATCGCCCCTGGCCGTGATTAGATGTTCGAAGCAAACATACATCCGAGCGTACAGTACCTTCGTTTGCGAATATTTGGAAATCATTATCGTCACTGGCCGCAGTATAAATTGGGTTATGTCCGTGTGTACATGTTAGGGGGATGCTATGCCGGAGGTCGGAATTGCCAACCAAAAGTCCATGCGGAATGTGACCGAACCACCCTACCTGCCTGGCATTCCAAAAACACGAACGCGATGGTAGGATTTACTGTTTGGATTCATTGTGTCCGCACGTCGCCCTATTTTCGCCATGCCTAAATTGCCCATTTCATTTCAAAAACAGATATTTATTTGATACGATTTTAAAGTATACTTTGTAGGGTTCATTAGATTTAATCTTCTTTCATTCACCATTTTTTGTAAAACTTATTGCAACTCACCCCCTGTTATTTACACTAATTAACGTGCTATCTATTTATATATACATTCAGATTTTTAATATCCACGCGTCTCTAAATTCATACCAACGTACGATCAAAGTTCAAAGAAACGTACACTTCAAACCAACGTATATTAGGAATTCCCGATATTCAGTCGGACAGTTTTATCAATTTTTCTCAAATGAGTTATGAAACGTAATCAGAATCGAACTAAATTAATACAATTTAGATGCTGCGTGCACGTTTTTGTTGAACGAATATTTGTTTAGTAAGATGACGTTGATGATAAAAATGATTTACAATATTGTACTCATTATCAAATTGAATAAAATGACTATCTATAATGAATGTATTGTGGAATTGAGTAAAATGACTGTAAATATGTATGTACTATCGAATGTATTAAAACAACAATCAATAGAGTGCGTAATATCGAATAGAGTAAGGTGACTAACAACAATGTACGTATTATCGAATTGAGTAAAATAAATGATAATAATATATATATATATATTATCGAATTAATTAAGACGACTGCGAGTAATATATTTATTTGAGTTATGAAATGTCCATTATGGTTAGTTGTACATTAACTAAAAATCTT